ATGTAGATGAATAATATCATTGGTTCTATATTCTTGGAATTATAGGCTAACATTTTATGATGACTGTTAGGATTTGGAATGAGATAGCGACTATCTCCCCCTTCATGGATCACGACCTTGTGTAGCTCAATGAAGCTATGAGCTATGCTGTGCAGGGCCATCCAAGATGGACAGGTCATAGCAGAGAGCTCTGACAAAACATGATCCACTGGAGAAGGAAATGGCAACCCACTCCAGTATCTTTGCCATGAAAACCCCATGGACAATACCAAAAGGCAAAAAGATATGACGCCGGAAGATGAGCCCCTCAGGTCGGAAGGTGTCCAATAGGCTACTGGGGAAGAGCAGAGGGCCAGTAGTAATAGCACTGGAAAGAATGAAGCAACTGGGTCAAAGCCGAAAGGAGATGGGAGTACCAGACCATCTTATTTGTCACTTGAGAAACCTGTATGCGGGTCAAGAAGCAACAGTGAAAACTGGACATGGAACCACTGATTAGTTCAAATTTGAGAAAGGAGTTCGGCAAGGCTGCTTATATGCAGAGCACATCATGAGAAAGGCGGGGCTAGATGAATCACCAGCTGGAATTAAGATTGCTGGGAGAAATAACAACCTCAGATATGCAGATGATACCACAGAAAGTGAAGAGGAACTAAAGAGCCTCTTGATGCGGTTGAAGGGGGAGAGCACAAAAGTTGGCTTGAAACTCAACATTAAGAAAACTAAGATCATGGCATCTGGTCCTCTCACTTCCTGGCAAACAGATGGGGAAGAAATGGAGGTAGTGACAGATTTTATTTTCCTGGGCTCCAAGATCACCGCAGATGGTGACTGCAGCCAAGAAATTAAAAGATGCTTGCTCCTGGGGAGGAAAGCTATGGCAAATCTAGATAGCATATTAAAAAGTAAAGACATCACACTGCCAATAAAAGTGCGTATAGGCAAGGCTATGGTTTTCCCAGTTGCAATGTATGGCAGTGAAAGTTGGACCATAAGGAAGACTGAGCACCGAAGAACTGAGGCCTTTGAATTGTGGTGCTGGAGAAGGCTCCTGTGTGTCCCTTGGACTGCAAGGCAATCAAGCCAGTCAGACCCAGAGGAGATCAACCCTGACTGCTCTTTAGAAGGCCAGATCCTGAAGGTGAAACTCAAATACTTTGGCCACCTAATGAGAAGGAAGGACTCCCTGGAGAAGAGCCTAATGCTGGGAACAATAGATGGCAAAAGAAGAAGGGGATGGCAGAGAATGAGATGGTTAGATGGAGTAACTGAAGCAGTCGGCGTGAGCTTAAGTGGACTCCAGGGGATGGTGGAGGACAGGAGGGCCTGGAGGAATGTTGTCCATCGGTTCATGATGGGTTGGACATGACTTTGTGACTAACAACAACAACAAAAGCGACTATCTCAGTGGAAAGGGTTGGCTACAGATACATTTGAGTATCCATTCAGCCTTCACATTTGGACATCCTGTCATAATTAATTCTATATAGAAGGATGGCTGTTATAAAATAATGCCCTTCAGCTGTTTATAGCGGAGTTCTGATAATGTGCATGAAATACAAATGTGAAAGTTTGAGATGATAAAATAAGCTTTATAATAAGTCAGACAATAACTTTTGCAGGGATACCACTGATGACATAGCATTTACCATCCAAGCCATTTTCTTTTTATGACCTGATTTTCATGACATGTGATGATTGGTTGTCTTCCTTGTTTGTTTCAGGGTGGCTTATTGTGACAGTTAAACCTGGTGTGCTGTAGTTTTCTCAGCATTTTTGAATGGGCACAAGTCACCCTGAGAACCCATGGATTGTTGGGTGGCTCAGGGTGGCTTGTTTTCAGGGTGGTTCCTCCTGATTCGCAAGCCTGGCAGAATGGCTTGTCATCATGTGTCAGACAGGCTACAGAGGTGCCTGTTGGGCAGAAAAAAACTCATCATTCCTTATGATCTTACTAGTGCCATTGTCCCCTTCCATTCTCTGTTGCCATCTTCCACCCTGTAATACATTGGTAAGACATGATACTCATCAATTCACTTTTCTTAGATACTGCCACCTGTTTATTTTCACCATTAGGAAGACCTGTGTAAATATAACTTCATTTGTTTTAACTGCCAGGCAAAATTGTGCAAAATTGCAGATAAGTGTATATTCACAACGACTATTGCACTTTAGTGAATGTGTGCAAACCTCCCTAAAAGTAAAACAACCCCACTGAAGTTACATTTAGATAAAACTCCCTGAAGGTGAAAAAATAATTAAGTATGCACAGAGTTGCAAACAGTTCTAAAAGCCTTCTACTCTGCTAATGAGCACTCCTGCACTCATCAGCAGAGTAGTCTGCTCAGATTGTGTCACAAAGCCCAGTGATATACAGGATGGGAACAGGTGACAAGTTGCAGAACACCTGATTGACTGTTGGGAGTAACGTGGGTTAGTGATGAGACAGACAACCCAACATGGCTTATCATGGTGTGCCAAGATCCCCATTAAATGTTTTCCTACTTGAGATTCTGATTCAGTACAGAATAGGTGAGTAGCCCATGTGCTCCACCTTTGTTAAATTCAGCAGCTTTAGGCTAGTGGTTGCTTTTGTCTGCCCAACTTTTCTGCCTAACTTAACTTCAGCTTAAAACTTGACTTAAAACTTAACTTGTCTCCCTAACTTAACTTCAAAAAATGTGAGAATAAAAAGAGATAAATCCTTATCTATTACTTTAATCGATTTAAGGAAAGGCAAGATAAAGAAGTTGGTGGTTGTGGTACCATCCTCCTGAATTTGGTTTTCTTAAAATTTATTTTTGAGAACTGAAATATTGAGTCAAAATTGAAGTAGTGATACATGGATATGGATATGGATGATATATGTACTGTGATATGCAGAATAAATAAAGGAGGGGAAAATAATATTGCACTTTGCTAACACTGATTTTCTATGTTTTCTTTTGAAAAGTAGAAAAACAAATCTACACTAATTTCATTTTCTTTTAGCCAATTCTTTTTGCATCAGGAATAAGCAGTACAGAAGTGATATTCTTCCAGTTTCTGTAAATTCAGTTTCAGTTGCTTAGATTACCAAATGTGATTTCAAAATAGGAAAAAAACCCAATGCAGAAGGAAATATCATTGCAGGATAAATATAATGTGTTCAGTGTGCGTGCAGGCTGGCCTTTGTTTGATCTCGTGAGCATCTGGGGGTTAATGTCTGGTTGGTGTTTTCGAAGCAGCAGGTGATCAGGAGTAAACTCCTTTAGGGGTCCAACATTTCTGTAGGCTCATAGTTATTCACACAGATGGGGGATATCTTGTGAACTTTCACTGAGGTCATGGTGAACTGCAAATCATACACTGAAAGTTCTGTTGTGTTAAGTTCTTGTGAATGAGGCTGTAGCACTCTAGCTATTAATTGGCTAAACACAATAGAATTACTGAAATTTAATTTTATAAATATCTAATGATAGCTGAATGAGTTCTTATAGAAAAAGAAAGTAAGTTTTGAGTGCTCAAAACCTTGTACTCTTAAAATTAAGTTTGTTTAGGATAGAGGGGATGAAATGGAGATGTTGTCTGTTTTGCATGCTGTCTTGGGTTCCTTGAAGGAAAATGACAGGAAAAGATCTGTTAAAAATATTCATGATATGGTCTTAAATGATAAGTACTGCTACTTTTCCTTGTTCTCTATATGCAGATTTTCCGAACTTATGTTTTCTCCCATGCATGTTGTTTGAAATGGACTACAATACTTGAATTTAGGCCTCTGGGTGATAAGTAGGCACACCAAAATTCTTGTGATTTGAAATATCATTTCACCAGGGATTGCAGAGTAGTTTGTGCAAGAAAAATGTTCTAGATCATTATGATTTTTCATTTTTCACACAAAAATGTGTGAATGCATGCTGAATTTCATAGAAAGTATTGCAGTATGAGTGTAGGTGGTAACAGTTCAATTTTATTTCCTTTAATTTTGTTAGTTTGTCCAGAAGTTTTGATTATACTGAATATGGATTATAGCAATGTAGCAGCATTCTGTTAACTCTTATAAAAGTGTTTTGTCTGCAGACCCTAACTGGATTCTCTTCCGATCTACCTAACACCAGCTTCAAACATTAGGTGCTTCAGGCTCCAGATGTGCCACTGCTCATAATATAATGAGTTATGAAGAGTTCAGGAACTCACTCTGAATATGTATCAGTAAAGTATAGATGTTCTGTCAGCATTAAGAATCCTGATATTAGTTAGAGAAAAATGTGAAAATAAAAATCACCATATGTGTCTCAGTAGTTTGAACCCCCCCTCCCCAAATGATCCTGATCAGAGACCCTGAAGTCAGAGAGGGTTTAATATCCTCCAGATCGCTTTATGAAGGTAACTGTTGCCCTGCCACTTCTCTGCAGGGAAGCAGTAGTCCTGATCATGTGTGTGAGGAGGCTTGTTTAAACTTTCCCTCCCCCATAGCAACTCTGTGGTTGTGAGTGCCATTGGTATGTGTATGTTGGGGGTGGGGTATAGCCTTATCCACTTACTTGTGCAACCTCCACAGCGTTTGGCAGCAGTCAGTTCAGCCTCCCAACCCAAAAGATTGGCCAACTTGAGAGAATAATATAAATTTTAGAGATATTCAACTAAGATTGTAGTCTTATGTGTGTTATATCTTACAGAATTTTTTTCCAGTGGTATTGTTTCTGTTACAGAAAAAGTATGGACAGGTTAAAGAGTTGTGAAGCTTGACTATATACATTTTGCTTGAATATTCAAAAGGATACTTTTGATTTGTTGTATTTAACTGCAGCCTCCATACTGAAAGGCTGTGTAAAATCCCATTTATTTGGACTTTTTAATGTATGGCTCTTTATGTATTTGCGTGGTGCTTTTATTTTTCTATCCACCCCAAGCACCAGTGCTTCAAATGTGTCTGTAAAGTATATACATTCTGCTACATATTCCTCTGGCAAGGTCAGGACACATTCATCTAACATGATTAAATGCTCATTTACTTTCAGGTGTAGCCCACAATATACCTCTGTTACGTGAAGTGATAACACATCCACACTTTGTGCAGGGAGACATCAGCACTAAATTTCTTTCTGATGTGTATCCTGATGGCTTTAAAGGTGAGTTATCAATAGAAATTTTATGTCTGAGAAAAAGGCATGGAAGGCTTATAGTTTCTCACTCAGTCAAAAATGCTTCATAATTTTTTTTTTAACCTAATATTTCAGTTTCTCAGCTTGAACTTTTTAGTAAATAACTTGTAAAATTAATCATTTTTCTCAGCATTCAGAGAAATTCAAATCAAAATCGGTTGTTATTATTAATAATATTTATTATTAACATTTATATACTGCATATTTGCAAAGAAAACACTCTTTTTAAATGATGCCAATTGATTATCTGGACCAAAGCATTTTTTAAAAAACAGCAAGTCCTGTTCATTGACGACATTTTTCTTGCCTATTCAATCCTAATTATTTGCACCGAGTCATCTGTTTGCTACAACATTATAACATGATGGTAGTGCCATGGCTTATGTTGCTGCACTGGCATGATACCACCCATCCTAAGCTAGTCAGTGTTGCCATTCTGTGACAGACCCACTCTAAAGAGCCCTTTTTTTCTATTCACTTAAAGTTCAAGCTGCATCTCTCTCTCATATCTGCATAATTGAAAGCTGGATCCTTCATTCACAAGGATGTGTCATGAGCTGGCACAATATTTTAAATGTATTTTATTTCTAGCAAAATATTGCTTGAAAATGGATCCAGGACCATAATTTTGGGAAGAGTGCATTTAATTCCTCATTCAATAAAAATTTAATTTAGAGAGATTCTTAGGAAGGAGGACATTTATACTACCAAGGTTCCAAATTGTGCTCCCTTTTGTGATTGAGGGGGTATTTTGTTTGATCCCATATAAGACTTCTATGCTAATAATCAAAAGGCTCTGTCTCACTGTTTGTTTACTTTTTGACTATGTATGTGGGGAAATCTGTATCCCAGAACTACTGAAGAACTATGGTTATCAAACTGCCTGCTACCACTGATATAAAAGCTAGTAGTATAGCAGCTTTATTTGTCTTAGCTTTAGCAACAGTTAATGTTGAATTTGTTTGCTATCATGTCATAAATTGTGCTGCAGAAGCTTATCATTCTTCAGTTTTTTAACAGGTGATTTGCTGGTGTATGACTAGTGCTTTGTGCTGCATTGTACATTCCTACCACCAAAGCTAAAACAGTGAAATGGAATTAAATTTGCCAGATGGTTTATTCAGTTTTCAATATGATGCTTAAAAGAGGAAATTCTTAAAGTAGCTAGAAGATTCTATAAGAAGATTCTGTACAGCATTTTATGGTGCAATAACAAATTATGACAATTTTCTAACTTTCTTGATCTATTCTCCCAGTTTTCCCCATGTTTAAGCATCCTAGCCTTAACAAAATACAATTCTGCTCATAAGTGCACAGTACTAATTACCAGTTTATTCATACTGCTCTTTGCATGAGCAGATTTGATTGCAACTGAAATTTAGTCATGGGATGCTATTGCATGGCCCATTTTCATGTTACATAGAAACATAGAAACTGAGTGAGTCAGAAGGGGCCTCCCGGGCCATTCCAGTCTGACTCCTGGTTCCGGCCGGCTCCACTCATGACATGCCTATCATGTGCATGTCTAGCCTATCCTTGAACATCCTCACAGATGGGGCTTCAACCACCTCCTGTGGAAGCCTATTCCATACCCTCGGGGTCTTAATTGTCAGGAAGTACTTCCTGGCATCCAAATTGAATCTCGGTTCCTTGAGCTTGGCTCTGTTGGAGTGCGTCCTGCCTTCCTCTGCAGGGGAAAACAGGTCTCTACGCACCTCTGTGTGATACCACCTCATGTACCTATATGTCGCCAACAGATCCCCTCGGAGACTCCTTTTCTACAGGCTGAAAAGATCCAGTTTCCTCAGTCTCACCTCATACAGGTTTCGCTACAATATGGCCACGATCCTTGTGGCTCTACGCTGCACTGACTCTAACCTGGCTATAGCCTTCCTGTAATGTGGAGCCCAGAACTGGACACAATACTCCAGTTGCGGGCACACCAGAGTCATACAGAGTGGTAGTAATACCTCTCTTGATCTAGAAGCCACACTTCTGGCTATGCCACCAAGGGTGGCATTCACCCTCTTGACCACCGCATCACACTGCTGGCTCATGTTTAGCTTGCAGTCAACCAGTACCCCAGAATCCCCTTACCCCATATTAAGTGGTCCCACTACCTGTCTCCCCTTCCTCTTGCTATTTACATGTTGATAGAAGCCCTTTTTGTTGCTCTTGATATTCTTTGCAAGTCTCAGCTCATAATCAGCCTTAGCCTTGTGAAGAATCCTTCTGCAATGGGCCTCCTCCTCCCGGTATACCCTTTTGTTTATTTGCCCGAGTACCCATTTCCTACAGAGGTTCCTCTTGCATCTAAACCCGCTTACCACCTCCTTTGCATCCATGATGGCACTCTCCTTTGCCTCCCCACCTTACTGACTAGAGGTATCACCAAGGCTTGTGCCTCCAAAACCACCCTTTTGAATGCCATCCACCCTTCCTCAACTCCCTTGCCTATCCCAGGAGACGTTCCCCAGTCTGGCCTTCAATTGACCAAAGTTGGTCCTCTTGAAGTCCCAGCTTCTAGTACTTGACATGCTGCATGTCCCCATTCCCCTGTTCTCAAAGCAAAGTATAGAGTGATCACTCGAGTCCAGAGCTCCCCCAATCTGCACCCCGTCTATCAGCTCCTCCCTGTTGGTCAAAACGAAGTCAAGGATATCCTCCCCTCTGCCCCATCACCTCCTGGACCCTCTGTGTGAAAAACCCTCCCTCTATAGTGTCTAGGAAGCAATGTGACCTGGCTGTTGCCACTGCGTGAGTCTCTCAACTAATGTCTGGGAGACTGAAATATCCCATAATTACTATGTCCCTCCCCCAAGATATCCTTTGAACCTGATCTGTCAGGTCCCTCTCTCATTAGTTTTCACCCAGACTACCTCTACCAGATCCCCATCTGTGCTGCATTCCGTCTCATTGCATCCTATCTCTTCCCTGACATATAAAGCTACGTCCCCGCCCCTCTTTCCCTACCTGTCCTTTCTAAACAGGTCATACCCCTCCATATTTACATTCCAGTCTCGCCTTTCATTCCACCAAGTTTCCATGATCCTCACCAGGTCATATCCTCCTATTCCCAGGAGAGATTCAAGCTCTTCCTGCTTATTACCCAGGCTCCTAGCATTGGTGTACATGCACCTCAACTCCTTCCCACAGCTTCCTTTCTTTGGGATCCCCAGCCTCCACTTTCCTCCCATCTTCCCTGATACCGACCCTCTCTTTGTAGGAGGCCTGTTAGGCCCTGTAGTACCTCTAACACCCTGGTCCCACAGCCCCGATCCTCTCCACTCACAATCAGGACACGTTTCTGGGGGGCATGAGCTGGTTTCATGATTACTGGTCATGAAATTGATAAAAGTTTCCAAAATCATAAGATGATACAGTAGTTGCCTATTCTGAATCGATCTAACCCCAACCCTGCTTAGGGTTACAATTGGCATAATTTCAGAACGTCTTCAAGGACATATAAAGTAAAGATAATGGTCCTGGCAGCATTCTTACAATTGTTTTCACTTCTGAAATTTATTTGTGATTGTGCATAGTTGCATGGAGATTGCTGTGTAAATTGGTGGTGAACAGTTGCATTTCACCTATGGTTTTTGGGCTTACTGCTGTAGTTTTGGTGTGATTACACTTGTGGGAATCACCACAGATGTCTGTTAGCCCCATACTATTTTCTGCATGTGTCTGTGTATAAAGTGGTGCTCACACAGAGAACAGGCACTTAGAAATAGTATCCTGACCTGGCCTCGAGATGTTTAAAATGTTAATAAGAATGTGGATGGGGGACGAAAATGGAATAATAAAAGTCAGGGCTGAACCCTCTTCTGCCTATGCAAAACTCTGTGCCTATTTACGTAAATGGAAGTGTCAATTTCAGAGAGACAATTTTACCATGGCTTGTTTCTTGTGACATTTAGAACTCTGAGATTAACCATTCCTTTTATTTAAAAAAATATGATGTCTGATTAAGATGATTATATTAATGGGCTTGCATAACATAAATTACCCATGTGTTAGGAAAAAATAAGATTTTACAAATTCAGGGATCAATAAAATAAAGATTTTTAACAACTCCTTTTAATTCTATGAAATATCTTGACAGCTTTCCTATTAACCTTAGCTGGCAACTTTTAATTAAAATTTTACTTGGAGTACAGTACTTGACACATGTTCAGGCTAATTTTCAAGTATATATGTTCCTCATGTGTCAGCTTTCATCAACACAAAACAGCTTTTTTTAAAAAAATGCATTATTTCCTTGTGGTTTTCATATTGTAATGATGGATATTTTATAGGCTTCTGTCTTAAAGTACAGAAAACATAAGAGCATATCCTATGAGTGATGAGATTCCATGTCCTTTAAATGGACAATATTTTTCTTTGGGAGAGGAATAAAAAAACATGGCATCACATTGTGGAATAAATGTACCATTACAGAAGTAACTGGCTTATACAGAGAGCATTTTCTGCTAGTTCTGTGATGTTCACTCCATGCCTTCATAAGCTCAGTGTTGTTGGCATGTGCACTTGCTGTAGATCTGAAGTAATTTTAAATTTGCCATTACTTTATTCTGCATCATACAGAGGTATGCTCAATGAACAGGATATAACGTGATGTCTGTTTGATGTCAGATTAACACCTGCTGAACTTTTAAAATGTTTGCTGTTTAAGCAAGGAATCTTGTAGGAAGGGTCTGACAACTACTAAGAGATGTTCTCTTAGATGGTGTCATTCTGCTGTCAGAACTGCTTCCATCAGCAGAACTGCGAGAAAATTCTGCAGCCACCCTTGGGTCCTCAACTCTTCTCTTGAGAAACCCCCTGGAGTAGATTTTTGAGTGGCAGAAATGTTCACAGAGGGAAAGAAGAGTGTGATAGCTTAGCTGAGTTTGCAGACTTCAACTAGCATGACTTCAACTGTTTATTTCACTGCTTGTTTAAACTTCTACAGTGTTGTAAATCAC